GTTTGCATTAACTTTAGCCTTTATTTATTATTATTGAATTTGTAATCAACTTTCCTGGCAATGGAAGTCATACACAGAAATGAATGTTTGACAAATATGTCATTTTGATATTCCCATAAATTTTTCTTCGTCGAATTTTCACCAAATTATGAATACCAAGACAGATATTTTATATAACCAAATGATACATAAATACTTCAAAACTATAGAAATTCATTAAACACTCAATTATCGATATTTACACAAATACAATACATGAGCTCGTCTTTATTGAGTAATTGAGAACCTTGGGTGTCAGCGAGATTTTTGCCATTTTCTAAAGAGCTTATCCATCATTTCTTGCTTCTACTCATTTTCTTTCTTCAGAAGTTTCGATTTTTATTGAAAAATTTTACTTTCAAGAGTTTTTAAATAACTAATATTTTGTCCAATATGGAGTGATTTAAATTTAAATTAATAACTAATTTTAACCACATATATCATTCAAGTTTAATTAATCAAAAAAGGTTTCCGATGCTAATTATTCCTTTTTAATTGATTAAAAGGTTCACAGATCATTTTATCATATTTAAAATTAATCAATAAATAATCAAATACTTACTTTTAATCAACTAACAATTTTTTGAACAAAACCCGTACAAAAACCCTACCACGTTTTTGAAAGGTTGGGAGGCTATCTGCTAGCCTCTGCCGCAAATATCTCTTACCCCATGTTTGTCTACCATTATCTAAATTTTTTTTTTAGTCTAAGTCATTTTCAACCATACATTTTCACAATAAAATATTTTGCATTTTTTCCTAATTTTTAACTACACATTTTTCAAAAATTCACTATTCCAAAACTCATTTTCATTGAATAATGATAGACAAGCAGGCGTTAAATTGTCAATTTCGAAGGCACACTCGTTATAGATACAACAGAAAAATAATTAGCACCGCGACTACAAAATCTACGAAAAGATTAAAGGGGTGTTTGGTCGATATTATTGAGGAAAGAATGTATTTTAAATGGTGATATGATGTGAAATATGTGGTTAAAAAGTAAGGAAAAGTTATTGATGTGATGAAAAATATTATTTTATTGACGAATGTGTGGTTGAAAATAAGTTTTGAAATAATGTATTTTAAAAGAATGTGNTGTGGTTAAAAAGTAAGGAAAAGTTATTGATGTGATGAAAAAATATTATTTTATTGAAGAATATGTGGTTGAAAATGAGTTTTGAAATAATGTATTTTAAAAGAATGTGTGTCAAACGAGGGCTAAATGAAGCAAATACAATAAAAACCAAAATCACTATCTTAATTTCTGTATATGAACTCTTTCAGAATCAGAAGTAATAATCAACATAAGAGGTTAATTTCCAAATGGCTTTCATGAATGAGTAATAAATTTCAAAGATCTGCCCTTCCGGGGTATCTGGGGAACGAATCATCCTTTCGAACCCTAAACCAAATCCACTGTCCCATAACGTCGTAGGTCAAGGTACCATTCATACGGCTCGAGAGGTAGACTCATTTCCGTAATCCTGCAGAAAATCACAAAGGAGCCTCGTCTATATTCAAGAGTCCACAAGTCGTCCAAAAAAGAAACTATAGTGCCCAAAAACACTGTTGTCCATTGCAATTGTAAGAGCATCTCTAATGCAACCATAAATTGCTTAAAAATTGTGCCTCGAGCAAAATACACCATGTTAAAAAAAAAATGTAAGAGAATCTCTAGCGTGGCATGTTAAAAATTAGACATTTTCTGAAGTTCCATCACTACGACAAAAATAGCATACGGCAACGTTCAAAAAATGTTGCCGTAAGCCTATGTCAACGTTTGAACGTGTGTTGCAAATCGAGATATTGTCGTAGAGTAGAGAAATACGACAATGTTTTTTTGAATGTTGCCGAAAGTCTACGACAACGTTTCGTATCTTACGACAACGTTTGCCAAACGTTGCCGTATGGTGGATTATTATTATTATTATTATTATTATTATTATTATTATTATTATTATTATTATTTAACAACAACAATTTATGCAAATAGATTGACAAAATTGAAAATGCAACTTATGAACAAATTTTGGAATTGCATAAAAAATTGATAATTTCATTACAAAATTTTAAATCCATACACTTGAAAATTAGAATGTGATACAANCCATACACTTCAACATTAGAATGGGATACAACACCACTTAAATAAAAAGATACTTCAAAATGAAATAAAATGGTAAGGGAAAAATTTAATCATAAACGGAACACATAAACTACTCTCTTTCTTATTTTCAGTCGATTTCACGACTGCAGCACGTTCTTCAGTAGCATTCTTCTCTTCCTTAAGTAAGAACATTAAGAATTGAGTCAACCTCTACAGAGCTTCTCTGATGATGAGCTTGTTTCCCAATACCGCTAAGGCCACTTGAAAGCCAAGAATAAATAACTCTGCAACCCGAAACCTACTAATTACTAGCAACAATAACAAATATAGTATAAACAATCACAATTTATGAATGGCCGATAAATGTCACTAACTCAAGTTATCAGTTCATTCAATTGATGCAAAAGGAACTTATAAGTTAATTTAGGACTGGACATTATTGTATTTCCACAATATACAACTATATCTTCCCCAACAAAACAAATTCATATCCATAGACATACCCCAGATGTAATTTTTTAAATATTATAATCACCCCCAACAGAAGACCCCAAAAGGCAGTAAATCTGGGAGAAAAAAAAACCATTATCAAGCTGTATCACATTTCATACATTGCCCTTGATCAATAATAATCAGCCTTCCAATGCATATGAAGGAACCTTGAATAAATTAGCTAATTGTTAGTAAGATTAATATATAATATAGAATAAGAGCAACTTTAAACACAATAACTTGATCATTCACAATACAATATTGAGACTGGCAAGCAGTACAGTGGGTACATCAGGTCAATGACAACATCCTGATGAACTTGTGAGAAAGAATATTGGATGTTGGTGCATGTAAGGTACATAACAGAGGATTACGAATATGATGGAACCAAATTGTTATTCTCTAAGTATGTTCAACATGCATGCCAATCTCAAAATGTTTAATAATCAAATGGTTCATCAATTCTTAACCATTTCTCTCAGGCTGTATTAAATGTAGATCCAAGTATCTACAATTATAAAGGAGCAACGTCTATTTCTAAAGGAGTTTCAGTCGGGGTAAAATCTGAAACAAATAAGCAAAGCTTATCTCGTAATACAACAAGTGATGAAATATCTTCAATGACCATAAATTAGAATCACTTCTGGCATATTAAAAAGAACAAAGATGTTTCACTAAATTTATGCAAATATAATTTTTCTGTGCCAGTTCAACGGAGCAAATGCCTAGATATAGTAAGATTCTTTTGACAAGAGAAAGACTGCTTGATTATCAATCACTCAATATGCTATAGTAAACTATGGACTTGTAATTATTGCATCCTTACTTAGCATCACTGCACTGATCGGGGATATGCATGAAAAACATATTCTGCGAGCTTATTGCAAGCACAAATCCTTTATTCAATTTGGCTTAGAAGTAAATTCCCCACACAACATACATTTAAAAACAACTTGAGCAACAGAAAAGAAGCAAATGAAAATAAATGCATGCCTTCTTATACCTCAAACATGTTTTCATCTGAAAAACAAGATCCTTCATGTTTAAAGCTACGAGAAAGATCACAACGAAGAATCCTCAGCTTTCCTTCCTGCGGTATTTAGAATTTAGAAGAAATTTGTAGAATACAAGATCAAACTAGAGATTCTTGACACAAT